GCCTGGAGACTAAAACATCTGGAGAACGGTTGCAGGAATTACGTCCAGCTCCATGAGAGAAGGACTAGGGATGACACAAGAGCCCTCTTCCCAGACGATCTGGGGGGCTGCCCCAAAGGAGAGTGGGTCAAACGATCCTCCAAAGCGTATTCAGGCAGAACAAGCAGCAACGGGTGGAAACTAATCAAGGGGCAGAAGCAACGTGGAACTAAGGAGAAACTTCCTTGACTGTCAGTGGAACAGCTTGCCACCAGAAATTGCGGCTGCTCCATCACTGGAAGCTGTTTGGAGACTGGAGAGCCACTTGTCTGAAATGGTTTGTTTTCACCGCCCGAGCAAGGGGCTGGACTAGAAGATCTCCAAGGCCCCTTCCAACTCCGTTATTCTGCATTCTGGCTGGAGCAGGAGGGGAGTTTGCTCGAGCCACATCCGCATCTCCCCCGACCACCTTGTTTTTGGAGGGGCTCCTGGGCCTGTTTTTCCCCTCTCCTCTCTTTATTAGTTTTCCAGTCGACGGAGTCCAGAAATATCCACGTGTGCGTTTACCACCTACAGCACAGAAGCCTCTTAGACTTTTTCCATCTGCAAATGATTGCAATTTATTCCCAGGAGAGACGGGGGCTGTTTCTGGTAACGCCAAAGTGTGATTGCCACGAGGCAACTGGAGTGTCCTTCGGAGAGTCCCCCCCTGAGCTTTGGCATCCAAATCCCCTCCCAGGCGGGAGGAAGAGCGAGCATAGAAATCGAACAAAATCCGGGGGGGGGTGTGTGCTTTGCTCTCTCTCTCCTTTAGGCGTTGCTCCAGGGTCTCCAACTGGCCATTTTCAGCCTTCCCTCCTTCCAAGGTCAGTCAAATGAGGACCCAGATGGTTGGTGGGGCCAGAGGCTGACTCTCTAAACTGCTTAGAGGGGGCTGTGAAGCCCTGTGAAGTGGTATAGAAGTCTAAGGGCTGTTGCTATTACTATTGCTGTCTGTCTGTCTGTCTGTCTGTCTGTCTNATCAGTTTGAAATTCTACCCATTTTCAGCCAAGGAGGGCTGCTCTGCAGCTTCTCACCTTCATAGGTTACAGAAATGGACTGGAGTCATACTTCACAAATGCAACGTAGAAGACGGCCGATTAAATGGAGGAACCAACAGCAACCCTTGCAGGGAAGACGCTGGAGGTGCCGGCATCAACCAAGCCTTTGGCCGGCCTCAACTGAAGAAGGGCTGCCAAGGAACTAACTGGGCCCTTTGATTCCCTGGATGTTGGGTTGGTCAAACCGCTGAGCCCAATTCTGGACATGGGAGATCGAGGGAGGTTAAGACTGAAACAGGTTCTGGGACCCTGAAACCCGGACAATCTGAAGAAAAGCATTGGAGGGAATGGAGTACGTGGAAAATGGAGGTGGCGACGATGATGATGATGATGATGATGATGATGATGATGATGATGATGATGATGATGATGGCGGTGATCATGTAACTTAAAGGGCCCGACAAAGAATGCCAGGAATCCCTCGGGGCCGTTTCAAGCATCTGTCGGGGATACTTTCAGGCATTGAGGTGGAGTCTCATCTCAGGGGTCCCAAAGGCTCCCCATTTCTTGGTCTTAGTCCCATCATTTGGCGCTTCCGTCCAAGTTCCGAGGAGGGCTTCTCCATTGTGTGCAAGCAGCAGAGCTGCCAACCTGGCCTTTCCAGGGTGCGCCACCCCTCCCTCCAGGGCAGCGAAGGTTTGGGGAGGGTGCCCCTCTGGTTTTGAAAGCCCCCCGCCCCCAACTGCCTTGGCCCAGAAGGGGAAAGCGGGAGGCGGAGGCAAGGGAAGAGAAGGGAGCCAACCCTCCCTGGAGGGTGGAGGAAGGCTTGGAGGGGCCCTCCCCACAGCCGGTGGGGCGCATTCAGCATGCACGCCCATGTCGGCCTTAGAAAGCGGTGGCACTGCATCATCATGGCAGCCGGGACAAAGCAGGGTGTCTTTCCCTGACAAAGATGGTTTAAATGAGAAAGGGCATCAGTCACTGCATCTCGGCCTCATTCAGGCTTTCTCTCTGCCCGATCCGTCTGCGCTGCCAAGAGGTGGGCTAAGCCAGGCCCCTCTGCCTGGGACGCCCCACACGCAGACTGGCACAGGCTGCCTTCCCCACAAAGGGCTCCGCTGCTCCCATGGGAGCCTGCCAACCCCGGAGGCTGCCCCTTCCCCACCCCGAGGGCCAAGGTGTCCCTCCTGCCCACGGGTGGAGCATTCCTTCACGAAGAGACCGGGGGGGGGGGGGGGCACGCAAGGAACACCAGTCTTCTCACACCTTCCGCACACGCGCAACAGGAGACAAAGCCTTTCCCCAAACTTTCCCCTGGGTAGACAGAAGTCCAACAGGCTTCTCCCGCCACAACGCAATGCATCTTGACCACAGCAGGTCACCCACCTGTGTGGGGTCCCTTCTGTCCTTGGCCCAAGAAAGCCAACGGAGCGCTGGGACACGGTGGCCACCAGCCTGAAGGCTATTGAGAGGATGGTGGTGGCTCGGAAGAGGGGTCCCTGGCCTGGCGCCCCAACCCTGCCCCCCCTCCCCTCTCCCCCCCCCTCCCTTCCTGCCCGGAGACCTGACGGTCTTTAGTCACACATCTTAAAAGGAGCACAAACGGGGGCAACACAAAGACCTACTTGTCTCAAGTCGATGAAGGCCAGAAGCAGCGTGTCCCCCTGGAACCCAGGCACCGGCCCGGATCTGGCAAACTCTGTGGGAAAGGAGAAGGCATGAAAAGCACTTTTAACTCACCATGGACAGGGAGATTGGCAGACGGATGACAGCGGAGACAACGGCGGCCGGGGGGGAGGAGCGCCCCACTTCTAAGGAGTCAGGTCCCCCTCCCCGCCTGCCTTTTGTTCACCCTTCAAATTTTGTGTCATCAAAACGCCATTAATTCCCCCATCCTGACAGCAAGGAAACTGTACTAATTTGACCTGAAATTTATTCCCATGAGCCTCACTGGGCTTCGGACAAACCATTTGCAGAGAAGAAAAGCATTTGGGAGATGGGAGGGAAATGGGGAGGGGGTCTCCGATGGAGAAACTTTTCCTCTCGACACAATAAAATCTTCAGCTGTGAAATCCTTTTCAGTTCCGAAAGCTGTTTATATTTGGGGGCACTCAAGGAATTTTCTAATTTCATGCCTGTCACCATGATCCAGGCCCATTTGTCAAAAATAAATAAACCAGGCTGCTCCATTAATTATGCTGCCGCAGGAGAACGTCTCTCGCAGATATGATACCCTGGACAAAGAGCGGAGAGAGGGCCAAGCGCTCCCCTCCTGGAGGAGAATATCAATTATTCTGAAGGGGGCCAGTTGAGCAACGGTGGAGAAGATTCAGAATCAGGAATGAGGAACGAGGGTCTCCAGGGGGGGGGAGAGGGGGGGGCTCTCCAGCATCTCTGCCTAAACCAGACAGCTGGGCTGCAGTTGTGCAGACCAGCCTCCTTGTCCTCTGCTGACCAAGAACTCCACCGGTGAAGGTCTAACTAGAACCTACGGAAGACGGTGGGAAAAGCTGGTGGAAACCAGCAGAAGGTGGGAGCCCCCCAGGACTGGCCTGCTGAAGGAAAACACCCCCTTCCTCGTCCGCCTCCTTCCTTCCAGAGCTGCTCCCCGGTTGGCCAGTAGACCACCAGGGGGGGCCCTCCTTTTAATGGCCAAGAGAATCGCCTGATTCTCCAGCATCATCAAGTCAAGAGGCCGAGAGTCGCTGCCTCCTCTTCAAAGCCCCTGAGCATCCTGGGAGACAACGGGGCAAGGCCACTTTGGAAGAAAGGCCACCAGGACCGAGGAATTCCCCTTCTTTCGGCCCCCTCGGGGTCTCATAAGGAGGGGCCCTTCAGGGCGGGAGGGGGGGCTTGAGAATCCCCCTTGAACTCTTCAGCCACTTTCTCTTACGGAGACGGAGGCTCCAGTCCGGCTTTCAGGAAGGACCAATCTCACTGATTTGGCTGTGCAGCCAGCCTCTTCCTCCGAAAGGGGCTCCAGGGGGCAGCTGGCTTCCCTGGGCCCAGGCGCCTCCTCTCAGCCCTGGGTAGAGGAGAGCAGGGGCCAAGAGCAGGGACCCCTCCAGGCAGCCCCCAGGAGTCAGCACTGATTCAAAGGCGTCCCCAAACGGGGAAACGCTGGGCAGAAGCCTTGAGAAGGCGGCCTGTGGAGGAGCTCAGCTCTCAGAACTGAAGCAGCTCCTTAGGGGAGAAGGAAAGAAGGCCAAGGAAGCCTTTTGGGAAAAGCCCCCTTGGGACCAGGCAGTTAACCAGAGTTGGACAGGAGACTCCCCAGGGACTCCAGTCGTTCTGGGCTCCTGCCTCCCCCAAGGCCCCTCTCCTCCCCCCCCCGCTTAGCAGCCCCTCTGTGCACCTGGCTAGGGGACCAGCTGAACGGCCAGACCTTCTACGGAGGAACCTCCAGTGAGACCCAGGAAGGGCAAGGCCCTCGGCCCCTCTCGGCTGCAGGAAGGCCAGCCTGCCCTGCTCTGGAGGTTTCCCCAAGGAGACGTGAAAAGGAGACGTGAGGTTGAGCTTGCCCACCCCCCAAGGAAAGGAAGTCCCCCCCCCCATTAGGCACACAAAGCAGGCGCCAGAACAGGTGCTGGAAGCAGCCCCAGGAGGGACCCAGCCATTGTCCCCCAACTGCTGGGGCAACCTGGGAAATGCCTCTCCAGAGTCGGAGGGGCCCTTGGGGGTCTTCTACTCCAGCCCTGCTAAAGATCTCACTCCTGCAAATGGTTCCCCAACCTCTACTTGAAAGCCCCCCNCTTGGTGCTCACACTTATTGCACAGCCGTAGGGACACAAGACAGTCATCCCTGCTGGTAGCCACCACCAGGTTGTTTGAGTAGCTTAAACCTTTCCGAAGGGATTCTTCCATCACACTCTACAACGGGGCTCTCCAAAGTTAGAGATCTTAAGACCTGTGGACTTCAACTCCCAGAATTCCCCAGCCAGCATTGTAAACCCCTGCTCTACGACATCAGGATGTAAGAAGGTTTCAAAGGAATCTTGAGAGCATCAAGTCCAACCTGCCACCCAGAACAGGAGCCCAGCAGAGAGAGGAGTGTAGGGGGGTGTAAAGGATGGAGGGTCTGCCCAGTCTGAAAATGAAAAAAGCAACCTTAGGAAGGCCACACCTGGAATCCTGCATCCAGTTTTGGTCACCACATTACAAAAAAGATGCTGAGGCTTTGGGAAAAGTGCGGAGAAGAGAAACGGAGGTGACTAAAGGCCTGGAGGTTAAAATATATGAAGAAGAAGGAGGAGGAGGAGGAGGGGGGGGGTTACAAGAACTGGACAGGGCCACTCTAGAGAAAAGGAGGACCAGGGGGGGCGTGATGGCCGTCTCCCAGTATTTGAGGGGCTGCCCCAAAGAAGAAGGAGGGGGTCAAGCTATTCTCCAAAGCACCAGAAGGCAGAACAAGAAGCGACGGGTGGGAACCGATGAAGGAGAGGAGCAATCTGGAATTAAGGAGAAATTCCCTGAGAGGAACCGGCCAGTGGAACAGACGTTGCCTCCAGAAGTGGTGGGTGCCCCATCACTGGAGGGTTTTAAGGGGAGACTGTAAATCCACTTGTCTGAAATTGCAAAAGGTCTCCTGCTTGAGCAGGGGGCTGGACTAGAAGACCTCCGAGGCCCCTTCCAGCCCTATTCCAAGTGAGGGATCAACCAGTGATCGAATCCCTTACAGAGAACGCTGGGCCAGAGCAGTTGTGGGGGGAGATCAGCTCTCTGCACAAGCACTTATGCTTCCCTTCGGCTCCACATCTGTCTGGAGAAGAAACCTGACTCAGATGCTCTCTTTAAGAACCCTCTCTTTTTTTTTCCAATAAAGAAATGGAAACACATGGAGCGATCTCCCCCGCTGCCAAATACCACGTTAATTCTAAAAAGGCCCTTTTCATTAGGTGATCTATACACAAGGACTACGGATTACAAAAGCAGAAAATTAAATTGTAAACTGTACGGCACAGAGGGAGGGAGGGAGGGAGGGAGGCCAGTCCTACCTCCTGCCCTTGCTAAGGAAGGAAAAGGCTGCAGGCTTCCATCATGTTTAAGGGACAGGCCACCAAGTGGGTGAGCCTATCCTTGGCGCCTCCCCAACCTCCCCAGAGCAATGCAGAGGGCTTGGGGGTCCCGTCTTCCTTCTCTTAACCCTAATGGGGGGATAATCTTCCATCTGCCTCCTTTGCAGCACCAAGCAGGGACACCCAGGGGAATGCAGGAATTGTGTCGGCCTCCCGCATTTCGAAAGAGGCGAAAAGGTAATTCTCCACCCCAAAAACTGTTTGGCCACCGTCACTGGCCTGTAACCAGATAGTGGCCACGGCGTCTCTCTCCATCCAGAGAGAAACAGACTCAACGGGGCTAAAACGCCTGAAGAGCGGTTGGAGGAACTGGGTAGGTCTAACGAAGAGAAGGACCAGGGCTGACACGGTTGCAGGCTTCCAATGTTTGGGGGGCTGCCCCAAAGAACAGGAGGGGGTCAAGCTTATAATCCGTCCCCTCCCGAATGATGAATGNGGTTGGCTCAGCCTTCCCTCCTTCCAAGGTCGGTCAAATATAAGCCTGCTACTGTTATGGCTATTCAGACGCCCACCAACAGGAGCCGAGTGCGGAGCTGCTTCCCCAGAAGAGTCCCATGAGGAGGGAGGGGCTAGGAGACCAGGGCTGCCCCCATCACTGGCCAGGAGGGTGGGGGTGGGAGGGGGAGATGCCCTGCTTCTCCCTGGTCCTCCTCCAGCCCACCGGTCTTGCCACCCACTGCCTCTGAAGTGCAGGGCAGCCAAAGTCTCCTGGCTTAGACTGGGGTAGCCCAGCCGAGGGCATCGAGAGCCCCCACTCCCAGCAGCCTCCTCTGGTTCCAGGGAAAATGGGGGAAAGAGGGAAAAGGCTCCCAGCAAATCAGTCCAGGAAAGGGAGGCAGCCTGCCAGCCGAGTGGATTGTCTCCGCTTTCCCCTCCAAGGAGTTTTTCCAACCTGCCCCTGCCGCTCCCCCCTTTGCAGCCCAGCCTCTACAGCTGGCAGCCCCCTTGGCTCCTCCCCCACCCCACCCCCTGCAGGCAGCACGTGCCAGCAGAGGCCCCTTGTGCCCAGGGGGCAGGAGAAGGGCAACGGGGACCTTGACCTTCGCCCGGATGTCTGTGTGTCTGTCTTGGTCAGCAGAGAAGGACAGAGAAACAGAAAACAGGAGTTGGGGGGGGGGACAGAGCAGGCACTCAGTCTGGCCAGTGACAACCTTGCCCCCCAGGGCTATTCTGTTGAGCCCAGGATCAGAAAGAGCTAAGAAGGAGAGCATGAGAGACGGGACTTCCCAGGGGAGACCCACCAGGAGAACCCCCCCCCCCCAATGGCTCCCTCTTCCTAGGCAAAAGTTTATTTCCAATAAAGGCTCAGGCTGCATTGGGGGAAGGCTGGGGTGATGGGTCTCCTTTGGAAGCTGCGCGTGACTCTGTTTCCTTCATTCACCAGGGGCCCAAAACACTTTCGCACTTAGGGAAAGAATGAACGAGAAGGGAAGGACAAAAGGGATGATGGAGGAGGAGGAGGAGGAGGAGGAGGAGGAGGAGGAGGAGGAAGAAAGGGAAGAGGAAGAGGAAGGAGAAGAATACAGAGCAATGAGGGAAAGAAAGCAGGGGCCAAGTTGGGTCTTGGGTTCAAACTGGATTTGAAGGGACTCCGTTCTCCCAGTGACAAACAGGTGGAGGAAGATCATGGAGCTACTCTAGGCAGCCCCTCAACTTGCAACCATCCATTTAGCGACCGTTCAAAGTTATGACTGAAACAAGTCCACTTAAAACCGTTTTCCGCCATCAGGACCGTTGCTGGACCTGTGTGGAGCGCCGGGAGGGGCTGGAGGAGGAGGGACGAGGGGGAGGAAGCAGGGCTGCCAAGGAAGCCGGGCCCTTGGGCTTGTGGGCAGGGGCTCCAGTGAGAAGGGATTCCCCTCCAATGCTGGGACCCTCCGGTCTGGCAGACTGAAATGAATGCCCAGGGGTCACCCAAACCTTTGTGCCTACCTGCATCTCCTGGCCCGTGGGGAGGGGGTGGGGCGCAGGGCTAGGAGCGGTTCAGCTCCAGAGTCTCCAAACTCGGCCACTTGAAGACTTGGGGACTTCAACTCCCAGCATGCACCGCTTGGGGAATCCTGGGAGTTGAAGTTCACAAGTCTTAAAGAGGCCGAGTTTGCAGAGCCCTGACTGAGGCCATTCGGCTGAAGGCTGGCACAGAGGGAGGGTGCCCTGGGCATCATCCAGGGCAGCTCGAGGAAAAGCGAAGGGCCCCCTTCCTTCCTGGCACCGCCTCCAGCAGACCTTGGCGTACCTGCCAAGGAGCCGGTCCGGGCTCCCCCCCCCCCCGTGCCCGGCTCCCAGTCGAGGGTGCCAAGTTCCTTGTGAATGGCAGGTTGCCTTTGTTTACCGGGGGAGGAGGGCAGGGCGCAGAGGAAGGGCTGACCTCCCGCTCACCCCAGGCAGTCTGTGTGAAACTGCGGCGGCTGCCGTCACCTCCGCGTGAACTTTCCGATTATCTCCCGAGAGTTTCACCTTGCCTTGAACTTGGGCTGCTCTCCCTGGCGCGCTCACCGAGCATTTCCAAACACTCCGGTGGAAAAGCGGCCACGGGCCAGCAGGGGGGAAGGGGGCTGCCAGCGCTCCGCTCCTCCAAGGAGAGGCGGCAGCCGGGGGGGGGAGGGGAGCCCTGGGGCAGAGGCCGTCTGGCCCAGTGGGCAGAGGCAGAGAGTGGGCAAGGGGCCAAGGGAGGGAAGGGCAAGGGGGCTGCCCCGGGGCCCCCGCCTGTCCTGTGCGGGCATCGGAGGAGGCAGAGCCCAAGGGAAGCGGGGGAGGGTTGCTGAGCGGAAGAGACGGCAGAGACCCCCCCCCTGGGCTCAATGAAGGAGAAGCTTTGCAGCTCAGGGTTGAAATTAAGGGTCCCTGGGGGTCTCTGAGCTGGGTGGTTTCCTTGCAGACGTCTCATGACCCAACTAGGACACGTCATCAGTGCCACAAGGGAGGAGGAGGGGGGGGAACTGTGGGGTCCCTGGTGCTCTCTGAGCCTGTTTTTTTCCTGGCAGTTGAGTTCCAGGACTCAACTAGAGAAGATCATCAGTCTTAGTGATAATGACGTTGCCTAGTTTGGGTCAAGAAACGTCTTCAAGAAAACAGCCAACCTTTTAGACCATCACGGACCGGACAGTCCTCCTCTTCCTCCTCCTCCTCCTCCTCCTCTCTGCAAATCCCATCCCCCTCTAGCACTGATAAAGTTACCTAGTTGGGTCATGAAACATCTGCAAGAAAACCGCCACGCTCGGAGAGCACCTGACTTGGACCTGAGCTGCAAAGCTCCTCCTTCAGGGAGCCCCCGGGGTCTCTGCCGCCTCTTCCACTGAGGAAGCCTCCTCAGATAAGCCTCACCTTACCTGCCACTCAAGCTGGCAGTTTAAGAGGTGCCCCACAGCTGCATCCCAGAAAGCAGGGAGTCAGCGAGGCGGACGGGCACTCTGGGAGGTGGGCTAGCAATTGGCCAGCCAACCCTCCAAGGAGCCTCCTGGAACCTGTCCGTGCCCATCAGGGAATGCCAAGGCAAAGGGTGCTTGGCATTGCCCAGCCTGCCTGCAGCCTCACTCCCCAGGAGCAGCCGCCCGGGCCCTCCATAGGCCACAAAGAGGGTCCCTTCTGGAGCTGGGCCCACTTGCTTCCAGGGGCTCCAACACGGGAGGCTTTTAAGAAAAGACCAGACAACCGTCTGCCTGGGATGGCATAAGCTCTCCTGCTTGAGGAAGGGGCTGGACTAGAAGACCTCCAAGGTCCCTTCCGGCTCTATTCTCTTCCGTTTCTGGTCCACACACACACACACCCGTGCAAGTCTTTTCATGGGAAACCGGCTGCAGCCACAGCTGGTCTGTGAGGGAAGCCTGGCAGGCCCCCCCAGCCCCCTCCCCAGAGCGTTCAGGCTGCGCTGAAGCTAAGCAGGGCTGAAGCAGCCCCAGTGCCCGGCTGAGCTCCGACTGGAGCCACGCAAGGACCTGCA